ATTTCTATTTGCCAGTCCCTTAAAATATTTTGAAGTAGGCTGTGTGATGGTGATCACCAGGGGTGGCCGACCTTTTGGACCTCCGGGACCACCAAACTCATAATTTAAAATCCCGCAGACCACTAATATGAATTTTGACTGATGGTGGCTTGCTGACGTTGGTGGGAAAGTCAGTCCCATATTCCAGAGCTGCAGTAGTCACAGGACTGGCTCTTTGATCATCCTGGGGCAGCTGCTCCTCCACCCAGGTGCACCAGCCTGCCATGGACTGGAGGAGCTGCTCTGGAGTGACCACAGGGTCAGTCTTGTGACTATTGCAGCTCTGGAATATGGGACCAACTTTCCCACCAATGTCAGCAAGCTACCTTGGGGCGGGTTTTCCTCCCCCTCAGTTGGTCTTACCTTCCAGTCCAGCTGGAAGGGTGGCTGAAGAGTGGGGGGCAGCGGGTGGGTGGGACATGTGGGCGGCGCAGCCTTGTGTTTCCACGCAGCCTGGATTCGTTGCTTTGGGGGGGCATTTCTATGCGAACCACCAAAATTTTCTCACGGACCACCAGTGGTCTCCGGCCCACCAGTTGGCAACCACTGGTCATCACTATTGCTGATGGAAACTAATCAAGGAGAGAACCAACTAGAACTAAGGAAAAATTTCCTGACAGGGAGAACAATTAATCAATGGAATGACTTGGCTCCAGAAGTTGTGGGTACTCCAATATTGGAGGTTTTAAGAAGAGATTGGACAACAATTTGTCTGAAATGGTATAGAGTTTCCTGCTTGAGCAGGGGATTGGACTAGAAGACCTCCAAGGTCCCTTCCAACTCTGTTATTCTGTTATTCTGGTATGTGGGAATGACCTTGGCAGAGAGGAGGAAGAGTCACAAAATGAACAACTGTCATGTAAAAGGAATCTTGATCCATAGGGAGAAGAGGGGTGCATGGGAAGAATTTCAGAGGGAACCCTCCCTAGTTTTTCAGAGAATAAAAGGAGGGGAAGGAAAAAATACAGTCCTGCAAAATTCTGTTCATGTAACCCTACAATAAAGGCAGAGTTAGTGGTCATAATTGTACTACCTGTAATGCTCCTTTCAGCTAATTAGTGAGAATATACAAAACCTGTGGTTAGGGTTCCATGTCTAAGCTATGGTAGTTCCTAGAATAACAAAATCCTTCAGTCCCTACTTCCAATGGAAGGGGAAAAATAAGTTGCTGGCTCTTCTCCCAGTCCTCTATTTTCAGTATATGCTGTGTGCATTTATCTAGCTGTTTTGCAAATTATTATTATTATTGTTGTTATTGTTATTTCTTTTATTCATTAAACATAAAACTCAGCAATGGTGGGATTCAAATTTTTTACTACCGGTTCTGGGGGCGTGGCTTGGTGGGCATGGCAGGGGAAGGATACTGTAAAATCTCCAGTCAGAGGAGGTATTTGCCGGTTCTGTGAACTACTCAAAATTTCCGCTACCGGTTCTCCAGAACTGGTCAGAACCTGCTGAATACAGCTCTGAAACTCAGTCAACTGCAGGGGTGGGATTCTACCAGTTTGCATCTATTCGCTAAAACCAGTTGTTAACGTTCTAAGCAGTTCGGAGAACCAGTTGTTAGAAGAAATTACTGGCCTAATCCTGTAAGGAAGGCAGGAAGGAAACATTCTGGTGTTGCTTACAGAAACTGCCTCTCCATTAACCCTTATTACATTATTCACAGGACTAGACTTCCTGTCTCAGGAACCTCTCTGGAGTTTTTTCCCCCTCTTTGGTGGTACTTTGCTTGTGTGGAGTGACCATTCAAAGTTACAATGGCACTGAAAAAAGTGACTTATGACCATTTTTCACACTTACAACTGTTGCAGCATCCCCACAGTCATGAGAGGCCAGGCGAGATGTGTGCCTCGATGTGAGTGATATGGAGTTGGCCACACGCAGCTAATAACACGGCCACCAAGCCATGTCCACCCAGTCACATGACCACCAAGCCTGCCCACCACCTAAGCTATGCCCACAGAACCGGTTGTTAAAAAATTTGAATCCCACCCCTGGTCAACTGAACATTTAAAAATGTATCACAAATATCATTGACTGGCTCTGATGGTTGATACAGGCTGCTGCCAGCATCAGTATCAACCAAGTATTTTCTTAAGATGTATGATGTTCCAAGTAGCACAGTCATGGCTGTCCCAAAGATACTTTTTTCAAAAGGCAACTGGATTTTCTTAGGTTTTTTTTCTTTTTAAACTTTTTGCTTCTCATCCAAGAAGCTACTTCAATTTTATTGCAGAATTAAAGTCCAATTTCCTAACCCCCCAAAGGTGCTTCCAGAATATCATTGTAAAACTTTGTGTTTCCTTTCCCCAACTTCCATAAAATAAAGTTGACAAATTGCTCTAAACAATGCTCTTAGCATTGTTTACGTAATGTGTACCTTAATGTGTTTTGTGAATCCAACCAACTGTAACTTCTTTAATAAACTAAGGCTAAACATACAATGTATGAGCCCAATCAGTAACTCCTAGGTGAAACTGAGAACATTTAATGTATAAAACTGTTTAATATATATAGTTACAATTAACTAAAGAAATAAATAATTCCTTCATTAAGAAAGTTAGTTCTCAATAGTTTTATTAGTCCATTGGAAAAAATATATGGAATTGTTGGGGAACACATGTTGTCAAATAATACAAAGTTCACATTTTTTACATAGGTTATTTTTTTTAGTTCCATTGATAAAAGGGTTGACAGTAACTGTCTCTTGAGACGTATGATTTATATTTTTAGCGAAAAGGTAAAACAGTAAGTAAGCATTTTCACAACTGTTCTCAGCTTAAGGATAAACTTGTAATATCTGATACTTCAAGATCAAACAGATTCAAAGAAAGATGGAAGAATATCTCAGACATCAAAATAAATGTGATACTTCCCGACATTCTTCCTACAACAGTCCTGCTGAAATTAATAATAAATCACAGATAGGGTTGTTGATGGTGATTTTCACAAATGGAGTTGGCCAATCTCTCTCTGTGTATGTATGTATGTATGTATGTATGTATGTATGTATGTATGTAATACGTGTGTTTGTGTAGTGGATGTACTTGTTCCCACCATGACATTCTTCTTCTTTACTCCCTCTTTACTGCTTCGGATATCAAAGTAGATACAAAGTTCAAAGGCTCTTGCTCTTCTGGTTATTTGATGCTGTTGTAGTGTGTCTTTGATGACCATGACATTAAAAGGAAGCATTTCCATATGCCTATGTACACTATAAGAGCTCTATGTACACATCCAAATGTGAAGATATTTTTATTGCCCATCCCTTGTTCTAATAAAACTGTGCACCCTGTTAGCACAACTAAGCCATGTTTTTTTCTTCATAAGGGCTCAAGGCCAGACCTGCAATGGAGTTAATTAACTCTGTATTCCTTTCCATGCCAAAGACGGGGCACCTTTCATAATAGCCTTGGTGAAACTTAATAGAAATGGAGAGTTAAAAAAATATAGATATATGTAGGCTGAGGGATTGAGAATGACCCCAGAAAAAACTGGTTCGATGTAGCCTTTCTTTCAATGATTACAAACATTGTAATCTCTTTAAAAAGATGAGCTTTTTTGATAAATATGATAAAATGGCTGGCCTTGAATTGCAACAGCAATACCACTTAGACTTATATACCGCTTTATAGTGCTTTACAGCCCTCTCAAAACGGTTTACAGAGTCAGCATATTGCCCCCAACAATCTGGCTCCTCATTTTACCCACCTCAGAAGGATAGAAGGCTGAGTCAACCTTGAGCCTGGTGGGATTCGATCTGCCAAATTGCAGTGGGAGTAGCTTGCAGTACTTCATTCTAACCACTGCACCACCGAGGCTCTATAGGAATACTATATATTTTAACTTAAAAGTGGCACCGTTATTTGCTACTGTTGTTATATATAATGGTTGGGAATGAATTTGCATGGCGAAGCAAAGCTGCAGTGTGCAAGAGGATGAGATGGTGGTTTTCTGATTTGGGGAGTGAGGTTTTCTATGTTTTTAAAACAGTATTAAGCCTCTTTGAGAGACAAAACACAAGCAAATTGTGTCCCCCTCTCAAAAGAGTGGCAAGCTGAAAATCACAATTGCACAATTGGGTGTGTGTGTGTGTGTGTGTGTGTGTGTGTGTGTGTGTGTGTATAT